TAGTGTTAAAGTCATTTAGTTGTAGAATGTGATATTTTATTCTTGAGGACTTATGGAATTAATGGAATTTCTTGAGGTTAAGACACTGTTGAATGCGCACCTACGTACGATGCATAAAACATTTTTGTCAGTAAAAACAAAACAAAAAAGAAAAATCAACTAACCACTCTGTAGTTTGAAAACTTTAGAGTTTCTTCCCATATTGAAGCAAGAGTGAGAGCAGCACTGTAATCTGGAACTGCTGCTATTTAAGAATTCTATACATCCTGTCACACCCATTGACTAAGAGTTCATTTTAAATGGTACCTATTATACTTTTACAAAGGTGGAAATAATACGTAAATGTGCAAATAACCCGTATGAGCTCAGCTCTTATCCATAACATAACCAGCTCTGCAGCTCTGGCTTTGAAAAGGTTCTGCCCGACTGTTGTTCAAAACTTGTTTTTGTGAGGTGCAGCCAGGTAGTAGAAAAATGTGTTAGAGGCATAGTTAAGTGTGCTAAAAACAAAAAAAAGGTTTCTTTCTGACGGAGGATAAACAAGGTTTTTAGCTGTGACTTAGAAGCTGCTTTCACACAAAGAAAAATCCTACTTTAATAGAGTCCAAGATTAAAATATGGACTTAATAAAACAGGTTCCCCTCTAACTGAAACTATACAAACTATATAAACTTCATATATTTATGGCCCTTTTATAAGATTGTGTAATGAAAGAGAAGTCAAGTTACATTTACTTTTCACTAAAATCAGAGGCTGATTGTTAGGGACAAACAAACAAAAAAAGCACTACACCTCCCATAGTTATCATTGTATATTGTGCTGTACGAGACCAGAAAGCTCAATGGGCGCACAGAGGACAAGGGTCAGAGCATAGCAAATGGTAATAACTATAAACAGATATCTACATATGAATATGCTGAATTAACAGGCAAGAGATGAGGCATTTGGTCATTTTTCTCCCATTTGTTTAATTAGTGAAAATGTCAACCATGCTTCCCATGCTAACACTTTTAGTAGGAACCTGAGCCATTTTTAAATGATCTCTAGCTCTGCCAGTTGGGCATTTCTGAGGATTTCTGCACTGATACTAAAAGAAAATAAATTGGTAAAATAATTCTCTATCATGTGCAGATTTTTAATAAGATCCAGATTTCGATTTTTTAAGAGTTGCCCACAAATTCTTGAAAAATAAAACAAAACACAAGCTGCATTTCAAAACAGAAACAAGAAGAAGGAGGAAGAGAAGGAAACCCTTAATCTTTATACAACCCTCACTGTTATGTAAGTGTCATGCATGTTTCATACACAAATACATGTACTGCATGTACAGTATATACGAGAGAGTGGGCGTGAGATGAAGCTCACATCTTGTCTTGATAAATAAATAAAAAGGCCATGCCTTGTGTTTCAGGAAGAGAGTCACAGAGTGCCGGCAGTTTGCTGCAAGTCAACTCTCCAGAAAACGTACGCACAATATATACAGATTATACTGTATATTTACATGTACTTATAAAAAGACTGTTCCTGCCTGATCTGGTCTTATCTGGTTCAGGCTGACGTTGCTCCAGTCTTGAAACTAGTGCTACATTTTGCAATTCAACATCCCGACTGTTGTACGGGGTCCCCGCCATCCCGTCACCTCTCCCCTCCACGTGGAGGGACCCTATTCAGTCAAACCGAATAAGCGTTTTTATCCTGGGATGAGATGCTACACTTAACAGTATTTCAGATTTGGCAGAAAAACGTTGCTACGGAGTGGATTTGATCATTAGCTTTTAAATGTCTTGCACACATTAAACACGCATCACTATCTAACAGTTTGCTTATAAAAAATACAGGCCTGTCGTTCATAATTTAAATATGAATAACCTACGTATAAACATTGATAAGGCCTGTTAGTCATGATTTAAATATGATTACAGGCCTTGGTATAAAATGTCATACTTAAATGAGCAGAAAGAAGCAGCATTACACATACATTATACTGACCAATACACAAAAAGGCAGAAATTTTGTACAGTGTAGAAACGTCTAAGAAACTGAATTTACAAGCAGTTCATAACATATTATATAACAGACATATTCATTAAGCATCACCAGCCAAGAAGTATATCGTTATTTTGAGGTGTGAGTTTAGAAAAAAGTGTTGTAAACCTTCTTTTATATTTATTCCTTGACTAAATACGGCCCTACCACACACATAAACTCTACACTACACGTCTCAAAAGTATAAAGAAAAAAATGCTTTTCTTTGGACATTTACATGGATTAAAAGGGACCTCTGGACAAGGTGGTTGATGCTTGTCTAATAGGACATGGTTTGTGCTTTGCTTTCTTATACCCATTAACGGGAAGGCCGAAACGTATCTGAAAGTGACAGTGCAATAACCTGAAAACTAAGCTTGATTCATAAAGGCTTTAGCAGTTCTGTAGCTTATTTCTTTAGAAAGGAGAGCAGCTGTGGTTAGCTTGGATTCACAGCAGTTGCAACAGATTGCAACAGTTACCTACTTGTTTGTCCCCCCGTGACCGTGACAACGACAAGTAGAAGAGAATTGCTGAACAGATGGACGGACGGACGGCTGGACGGATCTACTATTAGGTAGAACATTTTTTTAAAAGTCTGTCAGAATCAAACAAGTGCAGTTACTATTGAGAGATATGGTAAATGGCCTGTATTTGTATAGCGCTTTACTTGGTCCTAAGGACCCCAAAGCGCTTTACACTATACACAATCACCCACCCATTCACACACTGGTGATGGCAAGCTACAGTGTAGCCACAGCCACCCTGGGGCGCACTGACAGAGGCGAGGCTGCCGGACACTGGCGCCACCGGGCCCTCTGACCACCACCAGTAGGCAACGGGTGAAGTGTCTTGACCAAGGACACAACGACAGAGACTGTCCAAGCCGGGGCTCGAACCGGCAACCTTCCGATTACAAGACGGACTCCCAACTCTTGAGCCACGATCACCCCAATATATAGAACACTTGCTGTATCTAAGCCAATGGTATAGTTGGATTTTTTAAGTACATCAGACATTATTATTAATATTATTATTATTGCTACAACAGCCAATTGCTTTTTGGGCATTTATTTACCAATAGAGACAAATTCTATATCCTTTTTTTTTCTGTTGAAGGTAACTGAAGACTGATGAGAGGTGGAATATATTTTAGTGTGACGTATCAAAGACACTATTTCACAGCACAGAGGGGTCCAAAATGTATAAACAGGGTAAGGGGGTCACTTTCTTGTAGTGTCAATGTCTTTCTATGCAGCTAAGGTGGCTACAGCTAATATGGAGTCCAGCAAGCCAAAGAAGCAAATTAAATTCCTTCCAATTTTAAGCTAACTTTTATTAGATGCCATGCTGACTGTTCTTGCTAACAATAAGTATAACAAAGAAGAAAATTTATGTAACTTATTAGCAGCCATGTTGAAAAAGAGAGAGTGTTAATTGAAACCACTGCTGTGAATCTAAGCAAAGAGCAGCTGCTGTCACCTTTAAAGCCTTCAGGATGCGAGTATTTGATGATGAAACATGGGTTTTCTGTGGAGTCTGAATTTAAGGAGATATATGAAACTTTAGGACTTTTAGTTACAATACTGATGCACAAACATGGACCCAAACACTGTTGTTACAGTCATTACTTTGATCCATGCATACAGTTGTTAAAAGAAAAGCAATCTGCACTTTTACCTGTTTTCAAATTCAATTTCATATCAAAAGTGTGTTGCTACCACAAAGGTGTGAGCCATCTAATCTGATAGCAACCAAAATGCTATACTTCCCAACATACAGTTTGGCAAACATTATGTATACGTGGTGAGAAAGGTAAAACTGTGTGACGGACCACAGACTTGCCAAATATCACTTACAACACTTGCTGTTTTTTTTAACAATATTTTTTGGCAATACTGAACAATGTGAGAGGTAGAGAAATGTAAACCAAAAACCAAAACCAGAAATGCTTCTGTAGTACAGTGTTGTTTCATGAAAATAACAAGACTCTGAAATGTAACAACACAGTCAGGTTCGGTAGTGAAATGTGTGTTTTTGACTTCTGGGCTTGGAGAAATACACGTTTCCATAACCCATTGTGCCAGTAATGTTTTCTGACAAAAAAGTAAGGCTGGTTCAAGTCCCTGTTGCATTTGATTTGACCAGACTCCCAAGGAGCACAGCTTCCTTTCGAGTCAAGGCAGGTGGATGGAGCAGACGATAGGAGCGTGGAACGATTTCCGGTGGGTTTGTTCATGATGGAACATGGCAGTGGTGGTGGGGCAGTGTGTGGTAGGGACAAAGCCCTGAGTGCAGGACAACAGTGCATGCTTTATTTTTCATAAACTGGCACATGCTCTATTTCTATTAAAAAAAAAAAATCATATATATATATATATATAAGTGTGTGTGGCACTGGGGCCTAAACATTTTTGTACAAAGTCAGAATCTCCTGTTTCTGTAGCTGAAAAATAGGACTCTGAAAGGTATTCACATTTATTTGTATAAATTTCGTCCTGGAAAATAAAAGATCCACTCCACTCCTCAGTTTTGTAAACATTTATATATCAAGTGACATGACTTAGACAGAGGAAGTGGAAATGGGAACAGCTTGGATTCAGTCTGTCGAGTTTCTTTCCCGTTTACTCTTCCTGGTGCAGCTCCTTGATTTCAGGCCACCACCACTGCCCTTCAAAATCCACACCTTTTTGTCCAGTCTTCTAAACAGAAGAAGCACTCAGGGCTGTCTTCATCACCCTTCACGGCCAAATATTCCCAAAAGTGCAACATGCGAGATGCAGGCAAAGTTTGCCATGTGCTTAGGAGCTTCCAGTGAAGAGTGAAGCGTAAAGAGAGGACAGTAGACCCGGCTGGCCAATACTGGGGTGGAAGCCATTAAATTCGGCTTACCCTTCTTGTGAGAAGGGGGTTGATAGCTGGTGGTGGACAGGGAGTGTAAGGAGGTGGCAAGGGACCAGGTTTGATCCCCCGGGTTCTCATGTAGGACAGGAACTGGTCGGGAATTTCAGCCAGCACTTCTTTAGCCAGACGGGCCATGCTGAGGATGTGATTTCCTCGTCGGTCAATGTAGTCTCTGAAAGGAACAAACTGAGAGGGGAAGCAAGAGGAAAGGACACAAGGAAAGGAGAGAACAGGAAATAAAGAAATCAGATATAAGTAATGTAAAGAGAAATAAGAGGCGGAGAGTACAGAATAGGAAACATGGACATTGAGAATAAGAGAATAGTAAAGAAAATGACAAAGATGAAAAGTAAAGATAAGACAAATGAAGACAAAGAGGAGAGTATTGAGAGTGGAGAGATATTTTGCTGCTATTGTTAATAATAATCATCATTACCATTGCATTAATAATATAATTTACAGTATTGATATTGCATGCAGATGTTTAAACATCTTGGTACCCAATTAGCCTTTATTACAGGTGCAGTTATAACCACTTTAAACTGTTGGGTTGAATCTATAATCTTAAATGCTTCTGAATGCTTGTTATAATCTTAAGTGTGTATGTGCTGATTCTGTTGATTTTGAGTACACTCTGTACAGAGTCAGAGTGACAGGAAACTGCAGGCTTGCAGAGCGTTTGCAGAAATGAAACCGAAAGCAGAATCTAACTGCAGGTTATTCTGAGGAGCTGGTTAGACGAGGCTATGTGAATAACTAGGGTATTCAAATTGTCTGTTATACTTTTATATTCTTTTATTAAGCTTTCAGTAGAGGTTCTTGGTTAAAACATTTATTCAATTTATATTACATCTATAGTTTTAGTAAAAGGTTGACAGTGGCCTCTGTTTGACTGTGAGCGTTAGTAGGTGAGAGGTGACACAGAGTGCCACGTAAGGTCGTGAGATATCATGTTTGCTTGTAATTGTGGGCTTGCAGAAGTGCTCGCTCACTGCAAAATCATTGTCTGCGGTTTTGAAGAAGCACTAATCAGAAAGGTTGACAGGAAACATCTGTTATGAAGATGAAGACAATGTTCTTTTAAACTGTGTTAAAAGTCATTGTGGTTTTGATGTGACATATGTATGAAATGTATCTGTGACGTATGAAGGGGCGTCATTAATTCAAACCCTGATGCTATAAAAATCTGTGTATGCTTTGATTAAGTCGAAGATCAATCCCTGTCTGCGTACAGAATGGTCTTCCCACGCGTGTATTCATTAAAATCAATTGTTTGACCAAGCTCTTGTTGGACCATGGTGGTTTTTACTCTCCTTCCTCAATATTTGAACCTTAACAAGAGGAAACAAAGAAAAGGTGAATATAGGAAATGAGATGTGGACAAAAAACAGAAAACGCTTATGCAAAATTATGAAAAAGAAAGCAAAAGAGAGGAAAACAGAGAGAAAAATATTGCACGTAGAGGAAGAAATAAGGGTCGAGACAGCGGAGAGAAGACAGAAAAACCAGCAGACTCAGAACAAGAGCACAGTAGAAGGTCAAGCACAATGACCCTTTCCCATTAATCATAAATCCCACATTTCTCTCAACACTTTCTGCTGAGTGAACAGCCTTCCAGCCAGTCAGCCGTGTCTTCGGGAGTATTCTCTACCTGAACAATGTCCCTCTCCGCGTATCGTCCTTGGGATGAGATCCTCTCTTCGTCCCCATCCAGCTCAATCATTTCTGAGGAGGGAAGCGCATCAGTAACACCCCGTCAACGTTGCGGTGAGCAAACATGACACACGGTTTTTGTGTTTCAACCTGCCAACGTCATTAGCATGCCACAGGCTTACAGGCTTAGTGTTGATAGTCTCAAATGGGAAGGAGTACACAGAATTTGCACGGCTGAGCGTGAAGCCACGGGGCCGTGAGTTACACGTAGCTGTGCGCATAAGAGGAACGTGCCCGAATACATGTAAGCACAGCCAGCAATGAGCACCACAGGGACCTAAAGCGAATGCGCACTCTGACTTCATATGCGTGCTAATCCCGTTGACTCTGCAGGCTCATTGCTCCCCGTGAGTGAGCTTGTTTTTCTTTTCTTTTTTTAAACAGAGGACTGCTCTGTGAATTGTAAACACCAATGTTTCAGGGAGGAAACACAGCAGAGTGATGTAGCCCTTGCGCATTTAAAATAAAGAAGAAGAAGAATGGGGGAAAAAAAGGAGTGCTGCTGGACTGAAAAGCGAGAATTTATCAAATCCCCTTTACCTCGGCTTCTGTGAAGGAGGAGAGGGAGAATTAAGGGGAGGGTAAGTGGAGGAGTGAAGAAAAGAAAAGCTGCACGAGGAAGGGCTAAACCATGTGGGAGACAAGATAGGAAGCAGAACGAGGGGTGAGGGCAAAAGATTACTGCATGCTTTTAGACACACACGTATTTGCACACGGACACACATTCAGCCTGCTTACCATCGAATTCCGCTGGTCCAACCCCAACTATTATAATAGACATGGGCAGAGACGAGGCCTGTAAAGGGTGGAAAGTGACAGAATAACCACATCAAAAGGCGGCGAAGAAGCAGCGTTCATTCTTTTCACCATTTGCTATCTTAAACCGTGCAGGCTGCCAGTGAAATAGGCCTGCAAATTACCAACTATACATTAACTGTTACAGTCCAAGGAAAGGAAGCTCTATAGAAAAAATTAAATACCATTGTTAAGGCAGACGGGGCCTTACGTCCTTACTCTGCAGCCGGTTTTATAAAGCCCCTCGCCTGGCGAGATCTACGGTTTCTAATTTCATGCATCTGCAACCTAAATCTCTCGAAGCTTGACAGCTTAATAATGACTCCCATTTACATCTTCCTCTGCCCTGAGCTCCAGCTGAACTCCCGGCCTACATAGCAATATTGTTTATTAAATCTTAGTTGAGTGGGACAGCAAAGTACAGTTGGATTGATGAAGGATGAATGAAGCTTTTTCAGTGTTTCATAACTTCCCGGGTTATTAGACGGACGCCCAAATTGCTTGAGATATGAAGGGCATGGATCCTCCACGGGCTAGTAAATAATTACTCTCAAATCTCACTTTACAATAACATTACATCACACGGGGGGCAAAGTGGAAAAAGAAGCAGGAGAGCGGATGCGCGTTGAGGCCGTGCGGAGCATTAAGCCCAAGCAGCCGAGGCTCCAAATATATCAGCTCGCCCAAAATCGTTACACACATTAACTCTGATCACTCTAATTAGAAAGCAGAGTTATTAGAGCTGAACATAGCAGTGTTGGGGGGGGGGTAAGGGACGTGGTGGTGACCAGACTGACCCTCTCTTCCATTACTTCCCTCATTAGTAAAGATGAGAGACAAAGAGAGGGAAGAAGCAAAGATAGCAGCTGCACACCTTTTCGCCCTCTCGCTTTCATATTAGATGTTTGTTAGTTTATTAGGCCTCTATTGGGGTTTTAATCATACCTTCAGGGTTCCTTGCAAGTTCTACAGTAAATTAACTGAACGATTATAAGCACACATTTCACGGACTGCTACAGTAGATCACGTTTAGTAACCCACTGTGTGCTTACCAGTTTAAATAAGTTGAAAAACATTTTAAAATATACATAGAGGTTAAATGTGAAGTGCTACTGTACATTTACTATGGACTCCTTGGTCTGCGCCATGTCTGTGATCACGCCATCAGAGATGATGAGCAGGATGAAGTACTGTGAGCCGTCTGTCACTGCCGAGGCATACCTGGTGCGCAAAGAGATGGTGTGTCAGAGGTAAGGCGATCAAAAAATGACAAAAAACTGCCCCAAAAAGCAACTTCTGGGTGGAAAAATGAAGTGAAAGTCAAAGCGCCACAAACTACAGTTCCTATAATTTCCACATGAGGTCGTCTCCAAAAGCTCCTCTGTTAAAGTCACCAAGTTGAAACCATGATGTTTGAATGGTGTCACCCTTTATAACAACTGCATGTAACTGCATTTACTTTTTAGTACCATATGAATCCTAGTAGGCCTGAAAGTTAGGGGCATGGCCATTTTAACAGGTATGCCAACACAGAGTCTAGTTAATACTATCCCAGCCTCACCTCTGTTAATTGTAGCCACTAAACTGGAGACTCATAAATGGCTTGCTATGTCCTGCTTCAGTTTCGGAGAATAAACCTATACAGTTTATGGACAATGCTTCTTACATAACCAAGCTAACTAGCATAAGCTAATAACATAGCGTTTCACCATGGTAAATGGCCTGTATTTGTATAGCGCTTTACTAGTCCCTAAGGACCCCAAAGCGCTTTACACATCCAGTCACCCACCCATTCACACACACATTCACACACTGGTGATGGCAAGCTACATCGTAGCCACACCACCCTGGGGCGCACTGACAGAGGCGAGGCTGCCGGCATGGCATCCTAACTGTAACTGCAAGATGCAAAATGCACTTCCATCATTAACAAACTTTATTTCTTTATTTTTAATCCTGTTGGTATTTCATTAGCATTTTTTTCATCTGAAGCTGATTAAAGTTTTAATATGTACTGCACTTACAGTTTATGTGTCAGAGGGAGCAAGTTTATGGAAGATCCAATTTTATGAGAGCACAATATTAACTTGCTGGAGCAGCCCTTTAAAATCCCCCTGTCTCAAGCCCCACACATTGCCCTCAGCAATCACCTTATTAGATAAAATCTCATATTAGGTTATTATCCCTCAGAGATCAATAAAATTATAATCTTATTTTATGGAAGACAACTGGACCAATTACAGCTGCGTGTAGTTGCCAGGCCCAAAAAATTACGTAAAAAGTGAAATAGGCATATTTGAAGGGCATGGCTACACTAATTAGTTTGAGGTTTGGGGTATTTAACACACAAAGCGCACAAAAACTGGTTTTCATTCAAGTATTTCACACCTATTCTCAATGAAAGCCAGACTTTTTTCCAACGTTTTTTGTAATCACAACATTTCTAAATATTACATTTCAATGAAAAGTATTTATTAAACTTTTATTAACACATTCACAAACAATGATAATATATATTAAAGAACACACATTTATACCTGTATTTAATTACATACTAAGGAGGAGTAATGCTTTATAAATGATTAAGTAAACACTAATGCCTTACTAATGCTTATTAGTATGTGATTATTATAGCGTATAACATGTTACTTGCAGCATTAAAAGTTAATATAGAAACCCAATTAATATACAAAGATAAATACTTTGAAATATAGTTTCATGCAGAACAAGTTTATTACATTGACTTCATAACAGTTAAAAAATACTGTTAAACATGATGGATTCAGCCAATGCCTGCAGAGGTTTTCGTTATATGAACCAAAACTTTTGAAGTGATGTGCCATGGCATTTTGAGACCATATATTAAACAACACTCTTAGGTGAAAACAGTCAAGCAATTAGTGATTTGACGTGACTTGATGCCACTGTTTCTAAGCGCCATCTTCCTGGATTTCAGTCAGATGCTCCACACAAGTGAGGAGTGAACAATGCATCTATTCTCAGGCTGAGTGGGCGGACGACACTCGCAGAGATGGGATTTGAAAGCCGATGATGAAAGGGGGGGGAAAGTGCTTGTTACAGTCAATCTTGAGGATCATGAGACAAGATCTGGCAATAGGGGATGTCAGGTGGGAGTTGGAAGACACAGAACTAGGAAACAGCACGTAACTTTCTATCGGTGATTTTTTTGTGTGAATTGAGTAAGTGCAGCTGACAGCTTCTTTCAGTATCTGCTAAAGGTATTACTTGTTTTAAATATTTGAAACCTTTAGAAGAGCATATTTGCTGATCCAGTGAAAAGTCAACTTGGTATGTCTCACGCTGATCTGGTTTCGAACTCTTTAACACTGAAGCACTGGAGCATAGGGAATTTTCTATTTATGGCTCTTGGGATGGCCAGAAAGGGATTTATCTATTGTATATCTGTGAAGCGGTAGGAGGTGTGACACTTACTGTTATTCACAGCAGTGGCGCCAGCAATCATAATCCTGTATGCACTGAGCTTATAAATGTTATTTTAAAACTATGTTCAAAAGAACAGTTTAAGAACTTTAAGTCTAATCTTTGGATTCAGTAAATGATTCAATCGATGGCTTTTTGGAAAAAGAAAGGAAACTACTCTATACGATAATTATAGTTATACATTAAAATATTTATCGGGCGATTAAAATTTGAAAAAAATAAATTAAATTCAAGCTTTTCTGTAAATTTCAATCATTCTGAATACTAATCAAAAACTTTATATGCTCAAATATTTGTCTTTATATGACTTTACAGTAAGAGCGTGAATGTTTTTCTTCATTTTTTGTATCTTTACCAAATTACAGATCCTGATTCATTTTGATGGTGGCAATGACCAATAACATATTCAGGCTTTTATCTTTGATAGTCTGACGCAGATTATCCATTTTTCAAAAAGATATATCCAGAAAAGTATTAGAACCTAAAATTTTTACAGCACTCATTATATATGTTTTAACAACTGAGTAGCAATAGTAGTAGTGGTATGCCCGTGTTTATTTCAGAATGATGGAATGAGCCGACCATCATGAAATTAGAAGTGATGCTGAGCCTTGTATAGACTTTTGACAACATGGAGATGCAGAATGAACTTCGAAGTTGATTTCAATTATTCTTTATTTTATCATCTGGCTTTTTGATTGTATAATGTAGCAGCTTGGTTTGGTGTTATTACTACATATAGCTGATACTTTCTATATTGCTGCTAAATAAGGGAATCCTGCTTAATGCCAACTGTTTGTATACTATGAAAACACTGAGTCACACTGCCATTTCTTCAGAGGTGCATCTCAGCTGTTTTCTCTTTTTTCTTCAAATCTCATTAGCTCCTATTCTTGCTCCTCAAGCCAGTCTATCAGCCACTGTGCAGGCTAGAAGCAGACTTCTGCTGAAAGCACTGTGATGACCACTTTGCATGTTCAAACCACCACAGCAGGTATTGATTCCTCTCAGGTGATGGTGCTGTTAGCACATTTATCCCCATCTTTTCCCTCCACTTAAAGCTGTAACTTCACCAAGGCTGATTAATCTTTTAGGAATCTTTCCTGCTGAGCTGCACAATTCTTGGTGACATGGTGCTTAATGACATTAACACGTGTCAGACCACATGTTTCACATCCCTCGGTGTATTTATAATGGACGTACCTGGCCACATGGTTAATAACAGGGGAGAAGTGGGTGGGTCCATAAAGACGTACACTCTTCAGACTCTGGTAATAGGCCTCCATCACACCCTCAATACCAGTGCAGTATGGGTTCTGTGGATTACCATTCTGCACAAAAACACAAAGATGTGAATGAGTTAACAATAAGACATTCAGATATTTCATCTGCACAAAAGGCCCTTGGAAGATTTTAGAGTCACTAATAAAAAACTCAAATATGCAGTCTAAGTCATCTTGTCACAGCAAAAAAGAGCCTTAAATTTCTACTTAACATATTTAAGACAGTTGGCAGTGCAGTGGATAGTGCTACTGTGTCACAGCAAGAAGATTTAGGTTTGAACCTGCCTGGGGACTGTCTGCAGGGTTTGCATGTTCTCTTTGTGGGTGCTCTCCAGATGCTCCCGTATCCTCCCACAGTCCAAAGACAGACACGTGAGGTTAATTTGTGATTCTAAATTGTGGATGAACAGGTTTCTCTCTCTCTCTCTGTGTATTAGCTTTCTTGCCTGACAGCAACCTGAACAGTGTGTCTCGCCTCTATGTCAATGTCAATTTTGTGTTATCCCTGTAACGCAAAGTGTACTGTTTTTGATACAGGAGTCTGTGAGTTTTTTAAACCATTAGATTTTTTCCCCCTGAAAACCTAAATAAATAAATTGCAAAAAATGCCAAATGTAGCAAAAATGATACCAATTAAAACTCAGCAGGTTCTCTAAATTCTCACTTTCAGACAGTTCTTTCTACACTTAGCTCTCGATGATGTCAAAAAGTAGATTTTCTTAACATGTTAATCAAAGTAACACAACTCTGGCTGTAAGCCCCATCCACCTGATGTTCAGACCTCCTTTGTAAGACAGGAAGTCATTCAGAAAAGCATTAAAGAAGGAAGGGATCTTAAGGAACTGCACTAAGGATCAAGAGTAGGAGGATAAAAACAAAAAGAGATGCAATTTAACGGGCGATTTGTAAATAGGGATGGGTATCGAAAACCGGTTCTTGTTGAGAACCGGTTCCCACTGTTTCAATTCCTTGGAATCGTTTGCCACTTTTAAAAACGATTCCCTTATTGATTCCAGTCGCCCCAAATGACGTCATCACGTTGAGTAGCGTCTTTTACCCAGTAGGAAACACGGCGCCTGAGCGGCACAAATGCTCAAAAGTTTGGTTACACTTTATGAGAAAGGATGACAACAGGGCAACGTGCAATACTTGCAAAGTAGAGATTTCATCAAAGGGAGGAAACACTACGAATATGCAAAAGCATTTGCTCAAAAAACACGCGATTGCTTTCAACGAATGTCGTGTTTTTGATCCGCTCCGGACTAGCGAAGCTCAACCCAGCAGCAGCGGTAGCGTTTCCACGTCCTCTCCCGTTAATACTGCAGGTAACTAATCAATTAGCATTGCATATTATGTTAGCGCGATTTACCTTATTACAAAACCTGCTATTACTGTGCGTTGCATTTAGATAACCATGATGAGAGAGACAGAGTCTGGCTCAGATGCTGGCAGTTCTCGCTGCAGTCTACTGGTAGCGTCTCCTTTCAGGCCAGGATAGACGAATGTCACCGAGCAGTGTCTAAGTTTGTGGTCAAAGGCTTGAACCCATTTGCCACAGCAGATGCCCCGATTTCACTTTGGTAAGTGAATGTGTTTAATTGTAGGCAGGGACATTACTGGATATTCTTGTGTAATTGCTACAGAATAATTTATGTTAAACTTTGTTATTGCTACAGGAGAATATTTATTTTATTATTTTACATATACATTTTTTTTCCTGGGGACCCTGTGACACCCCATTGAAGAGCCGTAGGCTGTGGATCTCATAAGATCTCACTGTTGGGTTTGTAAGGCCATGTTACTCCTAAATTTCTATCTTGTTCAAAGAGAAGATATAAAACACAGTTCTAAGCTAATCAACTTTAGTGTTCTCCTTTTTAAAAAAAAAAGAATCGATAAGAGAATCGATAAGGAATCGAATCGTTAAACAGAATCAAAAATGGAATTGGAATCGTTAAAATCTTATCAATACCCATCCCTATTTGTAAACCTGCGTTTACAGTAACATCAAATGTTAAATGCCCAAAATTAATTACAGATTATATTGACATATATTTCGTTGATATGTGTTGATATGTTCACCATAGGCTAAACGTTTACACATCCTGTCACCTTCACTGATTTGATCTCAATGTTTATTCAAAGGCACTCAGTGTCTCGATTGTAGCACGTATCTAACATCAGGCATTAAACTAAATGAAATTATATTGCAAAGTTTTGATATTTGAAGACACTTCCTTATTGCTAAAAGGAATAATAAAAACATCACCATGCTGCAGGGAAACAAAATATAAAGTTGTATTAAATTTGATCTCCCTGGACTGGGACAGAGTTATAATTAATTATCATAACGAACATGTTCGGATGCAAAGTGTCAAACAACAGGATTCCCTGTTAGCATATTGAGAGACGTGAAAAGTGGTCAACCCGGGGCCAAAACATCGATAATACTCCAATATTAACACCAAGTGTAAAAGATCTTTTAAGGATGCAGAATCTCAGCTAGACTTATAAATTACATAGTTTAAGGAAGGCTTTAATCCTTCTTTTGCATCAGTTCGGTAAATGGTATCCTCAGGCAAGTTGGAGCTGCAGTGTTAGTTATAAAAAGATCAAACATGATGATAATTTGTATTAGACTCTGACATAAGCCCATCCTCTGGCTTCTTCCTCTGTGTCTCCCACATCTGTAATATTAAAATATTAAATCTGTGCCTGGTTGACTGCTTTTGGAGGCCCAAAAGAAAGTCGCAAAAAAGGAAACAATGCATTATTTAAACTACCCATATGTTTTAGGCTTTCAATTATCTGAGTAAGAAACCATCCTCACTAACTCTGCTTGGCTACCCATGAGTACGAACAGTGCACATGAGACTCCATTGTTTTGTAAATGGAGCTTGCATAATTAACGTCAGATTCAGTGGTGGCCTTCTCCCACTGTGGCTACACAGCTGTAGCCTTCCTCTTTAAGAGCTGACTCAGTCAGATCCTCAATCGTTAAATTAATGCATGTGTGCCTTTAGGGAGTAGCCGATGCTGAGCAGCTGTAATGGCTGTAAATGCCTCTGGAGCAACATCTGGAGGTGAGAGTCGACCAAGAAGAGATTATGTGCGGCTTGAGTAATGGTCAGGATGTCTACAGCCCTAGAGCACTTGACACTGGCAGAGTGGTAGAGACAAATGGATGAGTGGAATAAGGAGAGATGAACAGTCAAAAGCACAACTATTTCTACTCAATATGAACAATGTGGGATCTCAACCCTAAGTTTAAAGCTACAGTAGGTCAAATCTTCACTGCTGCATGTCAGTAGAATGCCCCTACCCATTTGAGTGCATTACCTTGTTGTCAGCCCACTGTATACCTCAGCTGTCAATGCTGGGTGAGAAGCGTATTTACTCAGGAAAAGGCTGTAAAACTTTGTGGAAGGAGTCAGATACAGATCAATGAGTCTGAGAAGCTCACCTCTGTCCGATTACAGCAAAGCTAAAATGAGTTGCTGAGAACATGCTGAGGTTTTCTGTCAGTAAGATGCTCATATGCTGTGAGAATGTAATCAAACTCTTTATCAGAGGGAAAGTATGATTTTTAGGACACTTGACTATAACATTAGCGAGAGCAATGTTAGCTTACAACCAGCTGTTGTTGTTTAGTCAGCTCTTTTTTAGCTGTTCAGGTCACATGTCTAATCTGCTGACAATATCGTGGAATAAACTTATGCACGCTGTTAGAGCCCTGACTTCAGTTTAGGAGATGAGGCTTGATGTGAGGAGGAAGAGGATACTATATTTTTTAGATACCACTGGCATTTTCTTATTTTTTGCAATTTAATTTCTTTAGTGAGAGGGACTCCTTCTCCAAAGGTAACACAGAGCTATGATACTTTATATCTTTAGTCTGAAGGTGCAGGCACAAATTGAAATGTCAGCACGCAAACTCCTACAGCCTCTCTTCTCCTCTGCCTTGTTTTGTTTATGGAGCCATTCTATAGCCACGTACATAAAACACAATTAGTCAGAAACTAGAAGTTCTTCCTGCCGACTGTATTTATACACGGTGGAGGGATATGGCAGCTTCCACAAAGTACAAACCTACTCCAATCTATTTTAATGAATTAATCATAGGTTTATGAGAAGGTACCAATTTCCTAGACACAATTACACACAAATCGATGTAAATTTATCAGAATCCTTTAAAAAAATAAATCTCAAAAATTACCTTCAGCGACTACAATACAAATGAAAGGGTCTGGGAAAAAAGTGCAAAAGTTACATCCATCAATTCCAGACTTGAACCTTTCCCAGCTGACACTGACAGATCATCAGTCCATCGCAGTGCTAACACAGAGGCAGACACCCAGACATGCACAACTGCAGCCAATAAGGAATCATTGCTGAACCTAACTGGAGGAGATTCATGAGGTAATTCATGAACCAAGAACCAACCAAAATCTTGTTCCTGTCTGATGTCAGTGTTCCAGCTTTGTTCTCCCTGTCTCGTTAGGTCTTATTCCTCCCAGCTGTGTTCCCCTTCTGTCTCTAATTCCTTGATGACTCCCTCAGTGTATTTAAGCCCAGTGTGTCTTTGTGTCAGTGTCGCGTCGTTAACGCCCACGCACCCTCACGTTAACCCTGCCTGCCTAGTTTATTTCTGTATTCCTAGTTTAGTTAACTTTATGTTCCTTTTCTGCCCAGCAATAAAGCTGAGTGTTTTGAGTTTACATCTGCCTCCGAGTCCTGCATTTTGGGTCCTTCCTCCCTGCCTGCCTGCACACAGCCATGACACTAACTAGACATAGTGCAAATTAACTGATTTACTGTCTTTGGTTTAATAAAATAAAATGCAGCCTACAATCTGCCCATTTTCAACAGAAAAAAGATTGATACAAAGAAATTAAACTACAGTTAAAATACTATGTCACTCTTGTATGACTAACAGTGGCCTTATACAAATAATAAAAAAAATAAACTTGGCATGTTATCACACCTAAAAACAAACTCACTTGGCTCTTTAGGCTTCTATCTCCACAGTGCGCAGGCAGTTTGGATGCTGTGTACACGTTTTTGGACAGCAGCACTGACCACCCACCAATATATTTGTTCACTGTAACACCAAGTATGTAAGAGAGTGCCTGTTTGAAAGTGTTTTTTGTTGGATTTTCGAAAAGTTTTCTTTTTTAACTTGCATGCAGTATTACGTTATGTTTTAGATGTCGCTTTAGTTTTCTTGTGGTCTCAGTGTGACTGACAGACTCCTCCAGCTGGCACCAAAGATATGAAAAGATTTGCTTTCGCAGCCGTATTCAACAGCAGTTTGAGGACAGGCCAAATCTTTTATTCTGCCAGTTCTAATGATGTTCATCAAATCAGCACTGAATTTCACAAGACCCGTCACAAAGCAAGGCTTTATTTCCTTTGGTCAAAAACATTGTTTGGTTGGAATCTCACATAACACAAGATTTAATTATCAGATGAATTGTGGCTTTGTGAAGGACTGAAAACATCTCCAGCGTATGCCTCACTTCTTGCCCAGTGTCAGATCCAACAGACTACAAAAATGACATGATTTCCAGAGGATGAAACCACGCTCCTCACCTTGTCAGGTCAAGTTTCTTAGTAACTGATTATCATATAATTCACAGATGGACTGGCACTAATATTAAAGACACTGTTGCTTCCCATGCGATTTAATTTATCCTGTACTTTGATATATTACCAAATAGCAAACATAAAAGTATATTTGTGTTAAGTGCTAATTAAGAAATGTTAGCATACTAGCACGTTACACTGTGAGGACCAAAGCAGATGCTAACATTTAGCATGACACATGTCATTTTGAACAAGCAGACATGTTAACTTTAGCTCAAACCGAGGCCATGTCTATGCACAGCTTTAAAGAGTTGGTAATAGAGGCTTAGATCCTTGCTTCACTTTATTATTTAAAGTTTCATTACTGCCTAAAGAAAGGTTTTGCAGTGTTAAGACTAAAACCTTAAAACGTTACTCAAATGGAACTTGGAATCCAATAATTTCCCGTGTCAATTATTAAGCAAACAAGAAGTAAACAATATACTGTCAGTCAACCCTTCATCATTTTTCAACATCTTACGTGGAAGAAACAACATAACGTTTGCATGTTTAATCCAGGTTTAGACTGTATGTGCCTAAACATAATACAGAAGAAGAAATGGAGCAAAGCTTTTTTTTCATGTATGTATCTGGACAAATAGATGGCTGGATATGAAGAAAAAAACGATGTCCTCACCAGGGCAAACTCATGTGAGACCCGTCCATCTGGGGGAAGCTTGGCACCAAAACCCAGCGCGGGAAACATCTTGTCGCTGTCGTAGTCCTGGATGATCTCACCGACAGCCCGCAGTGCCATGGCATAGTCATTTAGCTGGTAAGGGCTCATGTAATGGAGTGAGGTGGGCTGGGATGGGTTGCCTGGGACCCGAATGGTTCAACAAAATAAAACACACATCAGCATCACACTGTAATTATGCCTGCTCCCCCTGGGCTGTGAGTCATATTGAAATAAAAAGGAGGAGAGAAGGTGAAAGGGGTTAAATTGCAGACAGACATTTCTGCAAGGCACAGCTGCACTGGAGGAAGAAACAATCTCAGTGGCTGCCTCACACCTCAGTGGGTCATACAATTTCCCCAAATATTGCAGGATAGATAGGCAACATGAAACGTACTGTAGTCATTTTAAACTTACAAGATATTGAGCCGATCCTTCAGAGCTTTATTCCAATTTGCACAAACTAATGAAATAAGCAAAAACTGACAATATTCTTGTGTATAAATTTCAAAAGCCACTCCTAAATAATCAAACCCAATAATGGCAAAACTGGTATTAAATAAAGCCCATCGTAAATTGTGTCCTATTTATTTAAGAATAGCTACATGAAAGAAAAGTTAATATAACGACGAGAGCAAAGACCAAAATCATGTGTTATTTGATTTTTGTTACAATGTGAACATCAAAACCAAAAATATTTACATTTTCTCAAATTAGCTCGTAACTTATGGACCCTGTCAGGCAGTTTGGATTCATTTATTTACCACATAGATCTATTTTTAAATAGTTCAGTAATTAACTCTTAAACTATTGGCTCTTTCAACCTGAAGCAAACATTACTGAATTTAATCGTAAGCAGTTACAAAACTGTAAGGCTAAAATGAAAAACCTTAGGCTCTATGGACTGGGTAGAATTTAACAGCCTCGAGAACAGATCACAGATATTATAAAAGAAGCAACAGCACTCAGGATGAGGATAAAGACAGTGGCCTTTCCCACCTGCACATAAAGACCCAATTAGCGGGCAAAACAGGAAACATGAGAGCCAATCGTGTTTCTTAGTAACTGATTGTCATATAATTCACGGATATAATTCAAGACACTGTTGCTTCCCATGCAATTAAATTTATTCTGTACTTTGATATATTACCAAACAAATGTAAATGTTTGTACAAATATACTTTTACGTTTGCAAATGTAAAAGTATATTTGTATTAAGTGCTAATTAAGAAATGTTAGCATACTAGCACGTTACACTATGAGGACCAAAGCAGATGCTAACATTTAGCATGTGTTGCTGCACTAACGCGTGCACATAACATACGTTCACAAGAGTTTGTTATGCTGCTCACTATCATGGTGAAGGTTTTTGTCAAATCTTTTTTGTTTCATCGCATTTATTTGTGGACATTACCAAAGTCCTGAAGCTAATCTTTATTTCAGTTATGTTCCAACTGTCACAACTACAGTCCTCCCTTATTCATTTTCTTGCGGGCTTTGAAAGAACTGTCCAAATAACTGCTTGAATGTGTTACCAAGACAGCGTATGTGACGCGACGCTTGCTTTTTGAACGACTGTCACCATTACAGAGTGAAATTTGAAAAACTGAGAATACTGATAAATGCAAATTTAAGACTAAATAACAGCCTTACACCAGTGAGCCAGTTATATTAATGTTGTTGAAGCTGCGCTAAAAAGTAGAGTGAAGACTGTACTAGAGCAGCGGTCCCCAACCCCCGGGCCTCGAACCGGTACCGGTCCGTGAGTCGTTTGGTAC